AAATAAATAAATAAATAATCACTGATTTACAACTGCGTTGACATAACATTTACGTTTTATTAAATAACAATATCGCTCATCCAATGTAAATTCATCAATAACTCAGTGTACTTCTCAAAACAACGCAGCAATTAACGCATAAAATTAGCACAGAAATCGTCCAACGATACTGCTGACAGAGGCAATAATGCAAAGTGATAAATGAAACGACAACAATAGAAATAACCTGTTGGAAATACATATTGGCTTCATTCTGGATTTCTTCGTTGAACTGCATATTGGTAGGGTCATCGCTCATTGACGTCGTTAAACGACCAGCCGTTGGCGTTGGCTGTGCCGGTACTGCGCCAGCCGCTGCACCAAAACCACCCGTTCCACCGAGCATACCTGCTGGAAGCATTAGCATTAGTAACAACAGTGAATAACAGATGGGAATTTATAAGTTGGATATACCTGCACTACCCGGACCACCTGGCGGTAACTGTGCACGGAAATCGATGGAGGTGGACGCTGCAGTTGGGCCAGGAGTTGTTCTTAAGCCCGTACCAGCCCCTAAAAATTACAATAATCAACCCATCTTATTTACAATTAGCATAATGACTCCTACAGAGTGCTCGTATTCAGCAGCTAGGTTAGATCTAACAGAACTTTCCTATGGACCTCAAAAAGAGATTCTAATCAGGTGTTTGCGCATATTCTAAAAACTTTCTCTTCAATATCAATTTTTCTCGCTACTACAAAACTAAAGTCACCTTCAATAAGCTCTTATTTTGTTCGATAAATTTCCGAAGTGACCGTAAAAAGGGAAAGAAACTTCCACTGAACGTTTACATTCAAACAGTATCACATGCTGACATCGTGAAAATTCCTAGATATCGAGCAAATTTCTGATAAAAGCGACAAACGAGTGAGACAACTTCAAAGAGAAGCACACAAACCAGGCAAACCGGTAGGCATGTTCCATGCCGAACCAGTCATTGCGGCAGTAGTTCTTGATGCATTAGTGGAACCGCTCGCACCAATATATCCAGTCCTCATCATCTGTCCTGAAGGAGACATCGACAGTGCATTTGATGCACCAAAGCTCGGCTGTATACCGCTGCCTGCCGCACTCCACGACTGCAATTACAATCTTCCTTTCAGTCACCTTTACGATTACTACTCAAAATCAAAACACGAAATCATACATTCATTCAAGAATTACGTTAACCACTGAACTGATCAAAATCACATCAAATAGGTTATGGGCGGTGTTATAGTGGATGCACGGTTTGAGTTTTAGCAACAGTCATTATCTGAGCGAAACAATGACAGTAATAATGAAATTGACTTTACAAAATGCAAAAACCTTCAACAAGTCAGTTTGCTGTGCAAAAGCAGCAGCTGCAGAGCCGGGTGCAGCGCCGGTGTTCGGTGCGTTGTTACCGAACATTTGCATCGAGTTGGGTATTGTGCCCGTTTGTTGCTGTTGCTGCTGGCGATTTTGCAATTGCTGAGCGGCTGCGGCTGAAAATTGCATCTTCTTTGAACAACTTCCATGAAACTTTTCAGTTGAAATTTCAGCACTGTACTTTGAACAAACAAACTGTACCATAAAAACACCACGTTTTTCATCACAACCAAACACAGTGATCAATGAGATACGAACGAATACTCATCGCTCAAACAAGCCATATTTTGCATGACAACCGAATTTGAGAAACAAACAAACGTGTTGCGAACAGCAAGACAAAGACGATAATGCAACACACATAAATCAATTCATAAAATCATAAAATCGAAAGAATCAGTTGAGAAGGCTTTTTATCATAAAATCATATCATAAAATTCCTCAGTTCGATTTCCAATTACAATTTTTTACATTCAAAAAGAAAATCTCCAACAAATGATCACACTAATCATAAGAGAGTTCACCTAAGACTTGATCACGATTCGATGCACCAAACTGAGACGCACCACCGAAAGGAAAATTGGAGAATGCACCGGTGGTTTGTTGTTGCATTGTGGACGTGTTCGGTGCGCCGCCGCCGCCAAAAACACTTCCAGCGGATGTTTGCGGTAAACCGATCTGTGTCCTTGAACCCATATTCATCGCTGCTGCACTCGTTGCTGTTGTTCCGCGTGCATCACCATTTTTCAACTGCAACAAACCAGTGTTATGCCCTAGCATTCACACACCTCGAACAAACGAAGATACACTAATGAAAATCAGCGATGCTAACCTGCAATTGCCTCATTTGGTGGAATAACTGTTGCAACTCATTGATGGTGACACTTGATACAGAGGTAGGCTTCGATAGGCAGTTTATGAGTGTCTGCAGAGTTTCCTGAGGCAATCCTGCACCTTGCGACGCTGTCACGACACCAAACGGCAAACGTCGACGAATGTAACTGATCAGATGTGTTGCAAATGCATCCTGTAACAACCACCATTCATTGTTCTGCCTGTGACAACCAATCTAATGTTGGCCGATCATCGGCATTATCTTCAATACATTCAACAAATTGTTTTACCTGAATGAGCTACAAAACAAAAAAATTCGGACACGGAGGTTTACTGTGTAAAGCTGGAACCTCATCCTGGAACCCCTTCCTAACATTCAATGGGCGTAAGTTGTATTTGCCCTCTCCGAGCCAAACAGACAACACTTTTCCAATTTGTAAACATTAAAATAACCTCCAAAATTTCATCATCATTTACAATGTTTCATAATTTTTAAAGAGATTCAACTAACGCCATGTTCACTGAGCTTATCCTCGACCCATTTATCCAGCTTCAGGAAATCCCTTCGCGACGCCAAACATGCCAAATCAATTGTAAATGAAAACTGAGGCAAGTTGAACAATTCGGCAAGACCCTAAAAAGCAAATGCTCTTATTGAGCTGCAAAATGAGCAATCGTTTCGTAGTAATCAATTAGAATCCGATTTCGACTTCATTTAAATATCAATGGAAATGGTCTGATCACAGAGTAAATGTTCGAAATGTGGTTCGATATGAGAATGAAATTACGTGTTCGTTGGCTCAATCTCCTCGTTGTTGGATAGATACAAAATAGAAATTTTCGAAAGTGAACGAAGAAATGAGCGAATTTAAAGAAACGAATGAATACATTTGGCTTGAGTTCGTGCGCCACTTCGAGAATTCGTGTCAACTTCGACTGATCATCAGGGTTTTTCATATAATAATTGCAAAGTGCTGTCAAAATTATTTGTCGAATTTGAAACGGCGGTTTATTCAGCTCTTCACTATTCCACGCGACACTCAGCACAGACACCGCATTCGGATGGTTCCCGATCATCATCGGTATCAATATTTGGAACAGATGCGATCGTAAGCTATTGACTGGTGGCTGAAAACATTAACGATAGAGCAGTCACCCTCGCCTTCGTTGAATTCACTCGAACGCCTTCGTTAAATGACCCTTTGTCCATATTTCATTCGAAAGAAATTTTATTTCTTTCATTTAACATTTTAGTTATAAATTCAAGAAATGTTCTAACACAACTTCCAAAGAAATGCTATTTTATAATGATCGTTCACATTCTGTTTCACTACAAATGCATTCCAAAAAGTCAAAATTTTGAAAAGTGAACAGAACAATTGCCCCCAAACAACGATACGTGCGAAATATTTGAATCATAACGAATACTGATAAAAAAGAGGATCGAACCGGTATTTGCAAGAGACCGACAAGAATCACATCGGCGCAACTGCTGATTGGTTTGTGCAGAATGTTCAAAACGCCGTTCAACAATTTTCGCACTTCGCTCAATCGCAACAAAATATCGAGCAAATCCAGTGATCGCCTAAAGCAATAAATCACAACGCTACAAACAACGAAACANGATCGCCTAAAGCAATAAATCACAACGTTACAAACAACGAAACACATGTTGACATTGATGAAACGACAATAAACGAACCAATTCGTGAGGTCGCGATTCGTTTCTTCAGGTTGCACTTTCAGTCCAGTTAAGTTGACGGGTCTATGCGGATAATCGGTAAAGCAAAACACATCTGGATTTTGAAGAATTTGCTCGATCCAAGAGAACTGCAATGATTGTTGCGAATATTACACAACGATACACATTTGAGATGGGGAATAATTATCATTTTCAGTGTAACAAATGAACGGCCATATGATCACAACGATTATCAACTTTACGCAGATAAATTCACCAATCAAAATCACAACTTCATTTGAGTTGTCTTACTGAATTGCAACTTGTCATTCGTTTGCTTAAGTTTGTCAACATCTATCCAGAATACCAATTTCTTTTGAGGAAAGCGTAAATAATTCAAATGTAATGAACATGAAAATGTGAAGTGAAGAGGCAAACCTGTCCAATTTTATGGAAATTCCACTCTCGATAGAGTAACGCAATTGGAAACGGATTTGAGCCAAGTCCTTCAAGCAACAAACTTGTAAGGAACTGCAGTTGTACTTTGTTACGAACTAAAAAATTCGGCTGATCCAAATGCATCACCACTTCGGACCAATTCAGATTCGATGACTGAAAATTTCATTTCATTAGAGGGAAGCCGTAATGATCATCTTTATTACTAATGATTGTTCCATCGTTTTTGACGCAGGAATACTGATGATGAATTTTAACAAGAAAACGTACAATTTCGTTAACGGCTTGAGCGAATACTTTAGCATTCCAGTTCACTGTCGCACTCGATGTTGGTGCTGTTGCGTTCTCTGGCAGAACACCACCCGTAGTTGTTGCTGATGGTGTGGTGGCATCTGACGATTGCGTTGACCCTGGCGATTCAATTTTATGCATTTAGTTTGGATGACGCAATGAAATTAGTTGCGCTTTCATTTAGCATATTGCCGACGGTTACGGAGTAGCATGCAATTATCATTCATTCAATAATGAAATCATTCTTTTTCAGTCTGTTTTTACTTCATTGTTCTTTTAAATTTTACGATATTCTTTCGTTGATTTTTGTTGCTTTTAATGACGACCAACAACGACCCGCTGGAACGACAACGAATCTTTCAATTATTATCTGATGTTGTTAATGACACAGCAAGGAGTACCTAAGGTGTTTGCGTTTGGTGTACAAGTATTGATCATCATAATGATCACCCTCGACAAGGTGACACTGTTCAGTGAGTGAACATCTGCTGCGTTCAGTGCGGCTAGGTGCTGCTTACAAGCCTGCACACTCGACGTAAACGACGCACCAAGTTCCTGAAAATTAGCAATAACAATAATGATAGGCCTTTTTCATCAAGCAAATTCACCTCCAATTCGACGTAAAACTTTATTTGAACATTCCATATCTCTTAGTTCCGTACTTCTCCTAGTTTCT